GACAACCAATAACTGTCCTAGTGACAGTCGAAGCGATAACAAGTGATAGTCCTAGTGACAACCATAAACTGTACTAGTGACAACAAGTGACAGTCCTAGTGACAACCAATGGCTGCCCAAGCTACAACCAGTTACTGTCACAGTGACAACTAGGGACAGGCCTGGCGATAACAAGTAATATTCCTAGTGACAACCAGTAAATGTTTTAGTGAAAACTAATGACCGTCCTAGTGACAACCAGTAACTGTCTTAGTGACAACCAATGACTGTCCTAGTGACGACTAGGGAAAGCCCTAGCAATAACAAGTAATAGTCATAGAAACAACCTGTGGCAATCCTAGTTACAACAAGAATCTGTCCTAGCGACAACAAGTGACAATACAAATGACAACTAGTTACTATCCTAGTGACAACCAGTGACAGTAATTATGACAACCAATGAATGTCCTAACGACAACTACATGTGGTAACTATTGACAACTAGTCACTGTCCTAGTGGCAACCTATAACTGTCCTAGTGACAACAAATTATTGTCCTTGTGACAAGAAGTGACAATCCTAGTGACAACCGATGAATGTCCTAGCGATAATAAGTGATAGTCCTAGATACATCCTGTGAATTTCCTAGTTACAACCAGAATCTGTCCTAGTGACAACCAGTGACAGTGCTAGTGACAACCAATAACTGTCCTAGTGACAGTCGAACCGATAACAAGTAATAGTCCTAGAGACAACCAATAACTGTCCTAGTGACACACATTAAGTATCTTAGTGACAACAAGCGATTGTCATCGTCACAACCAGTCACTGTCTTAATGACAACCAATCACTGTCCTACTGACAACTAGTGACAGTTTTAGTGACAACCAATGACTTCCTAGAGACAACCAGTGACTGTCCTAGTGACGACTAGGGAAAGCCCTAGCAATAACAAGTGATAGTCCTAGAGACAACCTGTGACAATCCTGGTTACAACCGGAATCTGTCCTAACGACAACAAGTGACAATACAAATGACAACTAATAACTATCCTAGTGACAACCAGTGACAGTAATTAGGACAACCAATGAATGTCCTAACGACAACTACATGTGGTAACTGTCCTATTGACAACTAGTCACTTTCCTAGTGGCAACCAATAACTGTCCTAGTGACAACCAGTTACTGTCCTTGTGACAAGAAGTGACAGTCCTAGTGACAACCGATTACTGTACTAGCGATAATAAGTGATAGTCATAGAGACATCCTGTGAATTTCCTAGTTACAACCAGAATCTGTCCTAGCGACAACCAGTAACTGTCCTAGGGACAACCAGTGAATGTCCTTGTGACAACCAGTAACTGTCATAGTGAAAACCATTGACAGTCCAAGTGACAACCAATAACTGTCCTAGTAACACACATTAAGTATCTTAGTGACAACAAGCGATTGTCATCGTCACAACCAGTCACTGTCTTAATGACAACCTATCACTGTCCTACTGACAACTAGTAACAGTTTTAGTGACAACCAATAACTTTCCTAGAGACAACCAGTAACTCTCCTAGTGACAACAAGTGACAGTCCAAGCGATAACAAGTAATAGTCTTATTGACAACCAATGACTGTCCTGGCGACAACCAGTGACTGTCCTAGTGACGACTAGGGAAAGCCCTAGCAATAACAAGTGATAGTCCTAGAGACAACCTGTGACAATCCTGGTTACACCCGGAATCTGTCCTAGCGACAACAAGTGACAATACAAATGACAACTAGTTACTATCCTAGTGACAACCAGTGACAGTAATTAGGACAACCAATTAATGTCCTAACGACAACTACATGTAGTAACTGTCCTATTTTCAACTAGTCACTGTCCTAGTGGCAACCAATAACTGTCCTAGTGACAACCAGTTAATGTCCTTGTGACAAGAAGTGACAGTCCTTGTGACAACCGATGACCGTACTAGCGATAATAAGTGATAGTCATAGAGACATCCTGTGAATTTGCTAGTTACAACCAGAATCTGTCCTAGCGACAACCAGTAACTGTCCTAGTGACAACCAGTGAATGTCCTTGTGACAACCAGTAACTGTCATAGTGACAACCATTGACAGTCCAAGTGACAACCAATAACTGTCCTAGTAACACACATTAAGTATCTTAGTGACAACAAGCGATTGTCATCGTCACAACCAGTCACTGTCTTAATGACAACCAATCACTGTCCTACTGACAACTAGTAACAGTTTTAGTGACAACCAATGACTTTCCTATAGACAACCAGTAACTCTCCTAGTGACAACAAGTGACAGTCCAAGCGATAACAAGTGATAGTCTTATTGACAACCAATGACTGTCCTGGCGACAACCAGTGACTGTCCTAGTGACGACTAGGAAAAGCCCTAGCAATAACAAGTGATAGTCCTAGAGACAACCTGTGACAATCCTGGTTACAACCGGAATCTGTCCTAGCGACAACAAATGACAATACAAATGACAACTAGTTACTATCCTAGTGACAACCAGTGACAGTAATTAGGACAACCAATGAACGTCCTAACGACAACTACATGTGGTAACTATTGACAACTAATCACTGTCCTAGTGGCAACCAATAACTGTCCTAGTGACAGCAAGTTATTGTCCTTGTGACAAGAAGTGATTATCCTAATGACAACCGATGACTGTCCTAGCGATAATAAGTGATAGTCCTAGATACATCCTGTGAATTTCCTAGTTACAACCAGAATCTGTCCTAGTGACAACCAGTGACAGTCCTAGTGACAACCTATAACTGTCCTAGTGACAGTCGAACCGATAACAAGTAATAGTCCTAGTGACAACCAATAACTGTCCTAGTGACACACATTAAGTATTTTAGTGACAACAAGCGATTGTCATCGTCAGAACCAGTCACTGTCTTAATGACAGCCAATCACTGTCCTACTGACAACTAGTGACAGTTTAAGTGACAACCAATGACTGTCCTAGATACAACCAGTAACTCTTGACAACCAGTGACAGTGCGAGTGACAACCAATAACTGTCCTAGTGACAGTCGAACCGATAACAAGTAATAGTCCTAGAGACACCTGTGACAATCCTGGTTACAACCGGACTCTGTCCTAACGACAACAAGTGACAATACAAATGACAACTAGTAACTATCCTAGTGACAACCAGTGACATTAATTAGGACAACCAATGAATGTCCTAACGACAACTACATGTGGTAACTGTCCTATTGACAACTAGTCACTTTCCTAGTGGCAACCAATAACTGTCCTAGTGACAACCAGTTACTGTCCTTGTGACAAGAAGTGACAGTCCTTGTGACAACCGATGACTGTCCTAGCGATAATAAGTGATAGTCATAGAGACATCCTGTGAATTTCCTAGTTACAACCAGAATCTGTCCTAGCGACAACCAGTGACTGTCCAAGTGACAACCAGTGAATGTCCTTGTGACAACCAGTAACTGTCATAGTGACAACCATTGACAGTCCTACTGACAACTAGTGACAGTTTTAGTGACAACCAATGACTGTCCTAGAGACAACCAGTAACTATCCTAGTGACAACAAGTGACAGTCCTTGTGACAACCGATGACTGTCCTAGCGATAATAAGTGATAGTCCTAGAGAAAACCTGTGACTTTCCTATTTACAACCGGAATCTGTCCTAGAAACAACAAGTGATAATACTAGCGACAACCAGTTACTGTGTTAGTAACAACCAGTGGCAGTCCCATTGACAACCACTAACTGTCCTAGTGACAACTAGTTATAACCATTGATTGTCCTAGTGACAACCATTAACAGTCCTAGTGACAACCAGTGCCTGTTCTAGTGATAACTAGTGACTGTCCTTGTTACAACCAATGGATGTCTTAGCGACAACCAGTGACTAATTCAAATTGATTGAGATCCTTCAGGAAAATCAATGAGTGATATAATGTAGTGGAGGGAGTGTTTGCTTTGTTGTTCCGTCTAATTGTATGATATCTTTGACAGACTTCGGGTTTAGCTCCATAACTCAAATACTTAATGTCGAACCGTCATCAAAATCGATGTGCTGATGTTGTAGAGGAGTAACTTGACATCTAAGTGAGTCATACCACAGAGAAATGCATTTTGGTGTTTTCACCTTTCTGATTTTAAGAAATGTCCAAATGTAATTGGAACGGTGATAAAAATATGTTCATGTTGGTACATTTTCTCAGATGAAGTGTTTTTTTACACAAGTGAGTTTGACGGCTTCCTCAAGCGAACGTCAGAAACGAAAAAAAGTCCGCAATAAAAAGAAATATTTCATTTCAAAATATTTTATTAAATCAATCAGATTTAATGAAAATCGGACAACAGGCAAGTGAAGTATCACTCTGGTGTCGGCATCAGATCCACAAGACGGTAATTAACTGAAGTTTAAGTGCAAACTGGCAGAATCAATAGATTTGCCTGAAGAACAATAGACAAATATAAACAAAATAGCTGATCTAATTATATAATAAAATAACAAACTGTCACAGATTGGGTTTGCATTAAGTTGACAAGAGCACAATTTTTATTTCAAAAAATGCCAGCGGGGATCCTTTATCTCTACTCCACATTAAAAAAAACAATAGCGTGTCCATATCTCAAAATAAGAATTAATGGCAATTGTCACTGTATCTTGTTAGTCTACACGCCCGGCAAGTTAATATGATAACGTTTTTGACATTTATTTTAGCATCCGCCTCTATACTGTTATGCTATTCGGGCTGGACCACAGAGTGAGACCATTTGCTGTATTTCGTTGATTAAAACTGATTTATCAAAATTGGAAATAAACATGAAATCAAATGAAAATGAGTAAGATTTAATAATTTCACTCTCTCCTGTGTAATCAGAGTTTTTAACAACAAGTATCTCCTTCACTGTTACATTTTCTATATGATAAAAACCAATGTGTCTGTGACTAATATGGTTCATTAACACATCACGTGATCAACCCATCAATGTGTTCTTCTATACGATGTTTAGAAGAGTTGAAAGACACGGATACAATTATTGTCTGCAGATTTCGATTTCCAAGGATTACACGAAGTGACCACAAACGTGTCATCACGAACAGCTATTGCCCAAGGATGTTCCATTTCATCCGATGATGTCAGTAGTTCCCTGACGTGTGTCCCGTCCCCAGACATCTGTACGACGTTGTGTGAACTATAACCACACACGTAGATGTTACCCTCCCTGTCCACGTCTATTCCCGTTACATCCCTCACGACACCGACCTTCATCACATCCGTGTGACGTTTGATGTTACTGACACTGACGAGTGTGTCTCCCTTTACTGGATCATGTGTGAGGCAATGACAGATATAGTTATACTTATATAATAACTCTGTCGCTCCGTCCTGAGTCACACTGTATACGTCTTCTCCATCTGTACCCACAATAAACCTCCCGTCTGTATGTGTTATACCAAAACAGTCTTTACCATTAGGCATGTTGATCTCAGACGACAGGGAGAGTTTTGAGCCCTCGACTTTCACGACACGGACACCACCAGGACTGGTGACAGCGACCGCCACGGTATTGTTGTTTACCAGACACAGATCACAGGGATCTCCACGAATGGTCAACTCGTCTAGGTACTGCCCTTTGTCTGTAAACAGCTTCAGCTTCTGGTTGTTGAAATCACTAAGTATTATCTGTTTATAAGGAAGGTACACAACCCCACGTATCAAACAATTACTTTTATCTGACGGAGTCTTTACGTTAAACTTCCCTATTTCTTTCACACGACGCTCTGACAAAGGTACGGACAGGTATTCAATATCACCAGGACGACATCGTCGTTGTCTCTCGATTACGATCTTCCCCATCGCATCATCACCAAGGGTTACCATTCTGGGAACAATATGATGCCTAATGCTGACGGACATAAAGGACGTGCTCATCTCCGTGACCAGGGCCTTACACGANAGACGAGGCCTCCAAATTCCCCTTCTCCTCTTTAAACAAAGTAATTAACTTATCTGTGATGTCCTTCTGAAGTTTGTTCAGCTGTTCTTCGACACTTTGGCGCAGATCTTTGATGCTTTGCAGTGCGATTTCCTGATTTTGGACCATGGTTTGGATCTGCTCGTCAAAATCCTTCACCAATGACGTCATAGCCTGTGCTCCTTTCTTCAGTGCCATCTCCATCTCTTCTAGTTGTGAACCGGCTTGTAACTTCTGTAAAAAAATTATCGCCGTTGTCACCTCATCACAACGTCTGTGGTCTTTGATCACGCATATGTTGCATCCAAGCCGTTTGTGGTCTTCACAGTACCAAATCAATTTCTTGTCGTGTTGGTCACATTTAGGGACTGACTGTTTCTGTTTTGTTTTCCTGCTATCGTACCTAGTAATATCTAAGATATCACATTCATTATGCAAGACATCATGATATTGTACCTTACACGTTTCGCACAAATTCAAGTTCATCATTTTACACCAGTACTTCGCTTGATTTGTCAAGTCACCTTTTGTCTGGCAAGGCTTGCAGTACAGTGGTTCAGACGGATGTTCCTTAAGCTTGATAAGGTCCTGGATCACAGCATTAGTCGGGAACTGTTCTGCCCATTTGTCCTTAGCTTCCGTTTGATTGGTGGGCTGGGTCATTCTCCTACAGACGGGACAGGGGAACGATGTTGCCGACGCCATTTCGCCAGACAGTTCCTTGGTGATGTAGGTCCCGAGGCATTCCTGACAGAAGCAGTGAAGGCAGGGTAAGGACTTTGGTTGTCGAAGTCGCTCCAGACATATTGGACATTCCAGTAAGTGTTCGTCCAGTTCCGGAGATGGGCCGCCTTCAGCCATAGTAACAGCTAGGGCAGATTTATACTGGCCTGAAAAATAAAGATTTACAGTAATATTTGTATGGATTTCAAACAAATATACTATAAAACAGTTCACACATTTAATAGCTGGTTCATTGTACTGTACCCTGTAGGTTTAAATCTTTGATCAAAACATTGAATTCTAGACCTACACACACACTTTATGTATAGTTCTATTTTTATGTAAGCTTGGAGTCTCAAACAAAAGACCTAGAGGTCCGGTACCGATCACCTGTATATTTTTAAAGTGCTTGATTTGAGATGAAGATATAGCACTCCATGGTAGATACTGTATGCACATGTGAAATTTCAGAAAGGTCCATCCAGTATTTCTTGAAATAAAGCGAGAACAAACTTCAAATGTCAAAATCCAAAATGGCGGCATGGTGGCCATCTTGATTTAATGAATACATCATTATGGTAACAGGCACCACTAGACAACTTGATGGAGACAAAATTGGGATAAAATCATATAATCCCCAATGGCAGAAGAAGGATTTCAAAGGTTGTATCTCTATTCTCCCTATTGGTCCCCATTCCTCTCTACAAAAAAAATGTCCCCTTGGCCTAAAGATGCTCCAGACTAAATTAAAATAAATCCTTGTACACCTACGCTAGAAGAATGATTTTAAAAGTTTACCTCTTTTTACCTTATTGGGCCCCTCTCCTCTGCTCCAAGGGAGCCAAACCCACTGTTTATACAATATTTATTTGGTCCCCTCGGACCAAGTATGCTCCAGACCAGATTTAGTTAAAAATTAACTTAGCCTTTCAGGACTAGTAGCGCTTGAAGGAAAAGTTGACGGACGGGCGACGGACGCTGCGCCCTTCGGACAGGTGAGCTAATCAAATAAAATCTGCTTTAATATGATTAACGCTTTTGAATCTCCCATTTCCGTCGTATAATGAGTTTTTTAAAATGAATTATTCTTTCTGTCTGCTAAGGCCATTAACACCGTCGTAGTTCGAAATGTTTTCAAGAAATGACATTACATTTCTGTGCATTGTGAAATACAATGCACTGAGTTCAGCTAAACATTTTTGCAGTGCACACTTGTTTATTAAAGTTAGAGACGAAAATTCCTTATGCATGATACATGGTTTAATTTTGAACTTTGAACCCTGTCTATGACCTACTCTGAAAAGAGGACCTTCGTAGATATAAATAGATAAGAAGTCTTACTAGTGTGTTGTATCAGGGTTGTTGATAAATGGATAGAGAGAGGGGGTCACCACGGGAAGTGGGATTGGGGTGTTATTTTTAGAATTTATTTTGAAATGATGTGTGCTCTGTTGTGTGTTGTGAAGCTGTTCATGTAATTGATAAAAAAAATCTTTTGTTTTTTCTATGTCATTATGTTTTTGATCATTTGTTATACCAGAATAGAATATAAGTCTAGCAATAAAAATACTTTTTTGACGGAATAGGACACTTTCTCTCTCGTTTGTAGGAACGGGTCACTTTGTTATGTGAGGACAAGTTACGTTTTTTGTTTGGGGACTAGGCTTTCTTTAGAGGATCGTGTACATTTGTTTTCAAAGCAGAGTATGGTCAGTTTTTGTTCCGGTGATGTTGTGGTACTATTTCACCACCCGACATCGTGGTACTATTTCACCACCCGACATCGTGGTGCTATTTCACCACCCGACTAAGAAAGAAACAGATTTGTCAATTAAGATGATCATGTTGTTGTTTGTACGTTTCGTTACACACATTCATTATATGATATAAAATAATTCCATGAGTAGGTTCAGTATGTGTGTTCCCTCCCCCTCTAACCCCTCCCCCTTTATACAATGTTGATGAAGGTATAATTATATAGCATAAAAGAGTGCGAGAAAAGTGTGATTGACGCAAAATGTACAAATTCGTCATACATCATATGTTTTATATAAGAACAAACATACACCGTCAACGTGTCGAGTGTTATTGTACATGTGTACTTGTATACAGGAAGTGTAACTTGCACGTGGTGGTAAATGAAATAAAATGAAATAAAAACAAGGTTATGCTATTCAAGTAACCCTAATCGACCATGGTACATATACGTATTAGTTAAACGTAGTATATCTTAGATTACTCTTAAAATATCAAACATCAGTGGAAGATATGTAGTTTAATATTACACTTAGTAAATGTATACGAGTGGATATGTGTGAGCAGCTTGGACAAGGTTAATCGAATGCACCTTAATCACACCATATGATATATCATATATTAGATAAATGTATTACTTCTTAGAATATTTCAAAATGTCCAAATGTAAATGGAAGATATGATATAGTCTAATATTGAATAGTTTAATATTGTACTTAGTTATAAATACGATGCAATAATTTAAATGTACATTCGAGTACCTGTGTATACAGTTTAGACAAGGTTAATAGAACGCACCTTGTAATCACTGTCACACAGAAGCTTTTGTTATATATATGGCGACGTGAGGTTGTGGTAGAGTGAACGAAACGTATCATAGTAGAAAGGTGGGTGTTAGTTCCATTATCTCTCAAAATTATATTTTCTATATGTGTTTATATGTTTTATGTATGTCCGACCCCATTCCTGGTGTTCTCCCATGTTGCAAACCAACGACTATTGTGATTTTAAAACGCACATGGACGGTGTATACTATCACTAGTGACTACTAAATTCTGACTATCCTCGTAATAT